ACCAAAAAAAAAAAAAAAAAAAAAGCCTATAGAACTTTCACAGCACAGCCAGCGTCAAATGCCCAGCCTCTTACAGATTCAAAGCAGGTCTACTTCCAAGTGAATTGAACCGCAGTGAGGACTGGCCTCCGGACCAGAGAGGGCAAAATGTGTGCTGAGGCTAAAGGCAGGAAAGTGGCCAGGCTTTCTACTTATCCAGTTAATCTCAAGCCTGCAACTAAGGAACCTCCCTTCCCTGCCATGTAGAAAAAAGGTCCACAGTCTTTTGAAATAATGAAATGAACTTCCCTTTTTTGTGGGCTATAACTGCCTGCAGGTAATAACTGCCACAAATCATCTTCCATCATTTCTTTATTTGTCATTTATTGACTTTGAAAAGAACTTCAATAGCCACACAGAGGAACTTACCCTCTGGCAAAAGAAACATTTTAGCAAAGCAACTCATGTACACCTCTGGATAAATACCAAAAGTTAACAGCTAGAAGTGAATGAATGCAATAAGAAATTGTCTCACGGGGATGAAACCCAGTCCTGTGGGGACTATGCAGTCATTTAAGGGCTAAATAAGTGGCAAGCACACTTTTAGAGGACCCTGTCAGGGAATTCCAGTTTGTCCCAAGTAGCCTGAAGAAAAGGGAGTCGGGTAAATTAGGAACAGACTCTGCCAGAGGTAGAAATTTCTGGTTTGAAAAGGAAAGAAAAGAAAATTGTTTTACGTCATTATACTATTAATCTAGAAGAACACAAGAGCGGGATTTTATTCTTTTAAAGATTGTATAATTTAGTGTGCTCCTGTTTGCTTATTTTAACACTAGTGATCTTTAATAGAATAAATATTCCCAAATAGAATAAATATTGCTTGTAGATGCAGAGACCATTTTTTCTCCTGATTGCCTATGGTTTTATTGTTTACGCTCAATTCAACTGAAAGATCAATTTTATTAATAATGCAATAATACAGATGGTTGGTGAATCTCTCCCTACCCCCACTCCCAGTGTGAATGTGCTAGCTCTGGGGAAAGAATCCTAACTTACTGCTTTCTTTTACCTTTATTTGTCTGTGTCCTTTTGAGATAGGAAGGACAGCCAAACACTTTCTTTCTCTGGCTCCTAGACTATTCTAACAGAGTTGTTTTCTTTACTACATGAATCTATTACCTCATTGGACTGGTGGTTAACAAATTGGTAAATTGGCCTGTGTTCATACTCTACTACTCAGCCTGATTATTTGTTTATTGAATTTGTGGCTGCATTTATTTAAATGGTGGCTGTTGACTTCATTAAGTGCTCCTGGCATGCTTTGTTTTAAACCCCAGGCTAGCTGTTAGTATCTTGAAAACAGAACATCCAAGTAAGTAAACCTTTGGTTTCAAAAGAAAATTATCTACAGAATTTAGTGATTACTTACTTTTCATGTTCATTTGTTGATAAATGTAATTTTCTTGAATTAGCTCAAAACATTCATATTATTTGCAACTCTGGGAAGGAATAGGAGAATTTAAAGTTCTTCTACCTGTAGAACTGGAAATACATAGAACATTTTACATATCTTGTACATCTCTTTGACAGGTGAGCATTCATGAGCAAAGCAGTGCACTGGAGTGAAATAATGAAGGAATATTTTGAGGAAAAACACTGGAAATGTATATTCATCCAGAATTGGTGAAGGCATCAAGCCCAATACCTCTTACTCATTACTCCTTTTAAATGTAGAACAGATTCATTTATAAAACATGGACTGCAGGTTTTCCAGTATACACACAATGCATTCTTTGTGCTACAGAGGAAAGAGATAGAAAAATATTCCTCAGTGGACAGTTTTTATCATGCTGACTGGGAGATAGAAAAGGATGGGGCTTTCCAATCAATCTTTTTGTATCAAGTTTCTTTAAAAGCCTAATTATTCTCCTCTATACTTGCACTTTCATCAACAATGACACTATCCTATCTATCCTACAAATGCGGAAACTGTATTCGTAAATTTTTCAGCAAGATTTGTTTTATTAAATCCTTATTACTGTCAAGATTGCTATATTTATTTTTTTAAATTTTACTCCAAAACTTCTTTCTTGTTATTTGTATCATAAATAATAAGAATAGTCATCACTAAAGCAAGACATTGCCTATTCCTATGTTGTCAGTCACCAGTGGGGTTTTTGAAGACTTGTAAGACACTGAAAGAAATGACTTATTAGTCTTATTTTAATTTTTGTTCAAGGAAAGATGGATTCAAATAAATTATTCTGTTTTTGCTTTTATGTGACCTTGATTCTTTGTCTTATAGAGTAAAAATATTACCTGAGTCAGATTGTAGAATTAAATGTTTATCCTTATTTCCCGTATACAATAAAGTGTAGATTATAGAGAACTACTAAAGTAAGACTCTTACTCTCTCACAGCTTGTTATTTTGTACAGAAAGAAAGAAATAGAAAGAATGGCATTTCTCTTTAAAGGGTTTCAAGTGAGCCACTATATCTACATAGCCCTTCCCATATTTTCATAGAAGCGCATAGTGAAAAGAAAAGTAAAACTAAGTCCTATAACACCTTTCTGGATCCTACTAAAAGGCTTTCCTTCTGCACTTAGTAAAAAAAAAAAATTATCTGTTTAGAAAAGGAATTTTTACCCACTGTAAAAAATTACATACTTAGAAATGCAGAAGGCTAACCATAAGACAATTAAAATCACTTATAGTCGCACCTCTTAGAAATAACCTGTTGGCATTTTCCTAGTATATATATACAGTCATACTCCTTCCAATTCTAGACAAAATTTATGATAGCTGGCGTAAATGCATAAATGCATGTAATATAACAAGATAAAATCTATCCAAAAACATTGATAAGGAAAACAGGATGAAGGAACACTGAGAATTAAAAAAGAGAAGGTGAAAGCAGAAATTAGGTTAATAACCAGTGTGATAAATTCCCCTTCTTCTGTGAATATTGTTTTATACCATAGAGATCACATGGCATATACAGGTGTATGTCTCAGGAGGGACTTCTCAGCTGAATACAATTTGTCATTGTCAGAGCCAAAGACGGGTTACACTCCCTTTGCAGGGCCAGGAGAGAGCAGGGTGGCTTTGGTAGTCACTCACCCACCACACTTTCCCCACCTTCTCCCCTTCCTTACTCATCTTTCTGTGTCCCCTCCTTCCCTGGGGCTATTTTCTTTGCTGCTGCATCTCTCACTTGGAGGGCAGATGCTAACTACAATGAGCTATGGCTACATCTCTGTGTTCCCTTTCCAAGACCTAACACTGAAACACTTTAAACCGTAGACAATTTTAAACAGCTCTTTCTTGAAAAGGTATTATCCATTTACATGGTTCACAAATCAAAATCCTATAAAAAGTGTGCACCGAGATACCTATTTTTATTAGTTTTTGTTTTTTGGTTTGGCTGTTTCCGTGTATCCCTCCAGAGTTTCTTACCAGGAGCCAAAGGAAATGCAAACTCACTCTTCAATAACTTGTAATTCCTCTCATTTCTGTATCTCTCTCACACACACAAAAATACACGAATCTCTTAGTGCATGGTTCCGCTCAAAGTGGTAGGGAATTGCTGAAGGGAGAAATGTGAAGGGATCTAGAATCCAATTAACTTTTGCTGTCATTGGTGTGTAACACTGGATGAGTCACTTTTTCTAGTAAATGGGGATGAAAATCTCATATTAATGAAGGTTTCCAAGGGAAGTGATGAACCAAAACCCAGATGTTCACATAATTAACAAATTAATCTTTAAAAACCTGCTTAAAGTTCTTCCCTTTTTACTAAATATAACTTTAGCTATTGTTAAATTTTTTAACTTTATATTATTGCTCCTAACTTGGAATAAAATTATTTTCCTAGTGCTTATTATTTTTCAAGAGTGTATCCTGCTGATAGACTTTTAAGCAAAATATTACAATACTTATAAATAAAACAGTTTCCTTGGTTTTCTGACATTTCCACGTTGATAAGACAATTTTGTTGAAATACACTGCACATGTACAAAGAACAAGGTCCATGTGATCCCTCAGTTCTATAAGATCATATACCTTATAAAGTTTTGTTAAAACAATAAAATTTAGTGACAACACAGTACTTGGCATATAGGTAGCTATTTTATTATAGACTTCATTTATTTTTAGAAAATTCTTATTTTTTACTTCTATATTGCTATGTATTCCTATATCATTCATATATATTTCCCTAAAGTTCATGTTCAAATATACATGAATAAATGTGTTCTTATTTCATGAGATAGTAAGAAAGCAAAAGTTTCTTTCTTTTATAAGAAGTAGACACAGATATTAGACATAGCACTTGCATCTAACAGTGTTACTTTCCTTCTTTCTTATGCCCCAGATGCACCATATATTATGATTACGTGTGTTAACTTTCAGGTATATAAACACTTTCATATACACTAGCTGTTTTGATCTTCACAAGAACCGTGTGATCTAGAACAAGCATGCCCCCTTTACAGAAGAAGAAATCAAGACTCTAGAGTTAAATGACTTTCTGTCTACTTTGCACACATGGGGTCGCCATGAGTAGAAACACACTTGACGGCAACCAACAACAAAAACAACAAAGTTACCAAACCAGTGAGTGGCAGAGCTGGTCTTTGAGCTGCACTTCAGGCTCCAAGTCCAGGGTCTATCCCAGTGCAACACACAATTTATCTGGATGTGGTAACCTGACATGGAGTACACATCCACTTCTCTTCTGTCGGTCTTACCTTGGGAATTTCAGTAGTTTCATATACTATATGACTCCTGGCAAACATTATACTTAATTCTTTGTTTGTTTGTATCTGAGAACATTCTCATTTGAATATTCTCCTAGGGAAGATGGCAGCTCCATTGCTTGCCATAGAATAGAGTATAAACTGAGAGGTTGGTTCTTCCCTGTGTTTTAAGCACCTGTGAAAATCCCCCAGCAAAATCCCAATTTAGGTTTATGTCAGAAACTTTCTGAAGCCTCCAGGCAGCCAGTTCCTTAAATTCTAGATAAACCAGTTGTCACAGCATGTGGGGACTTCAGAGACCATGAAGACCAGTTCTTCTGAGTGTCCCAGATGGCACTCATCCTAGCATACACACTTTAGAATGCAGATAATAAATATTATTTGAATTTTGCTGAACCGAATTACCTATCTTCTGTATTTTTAATAAAGACACCATCTACAGGAGGCAAATAAATTACTGTGATTCCAATAACCAAGCTCCTTTGAGATTGGAACTCAGGGGTACTTGATAACTATGGGAGCTATTTTTCTTTGTAGTTCCACTGAGACCCTATCAAAATGTTTCATCCTTCAGAAAGTAGCGTTATGAGAATGTGATTGGATCTACAAAATTTTATCCTCACTAATCATGAATAATTCATAGTTGACGACCCACCATTCATGTGTCACCATCTACTTTACAGATAGAAAAACCAAGAATCAGACATTCAGGCTCTTGGTTTTCCCATCAAAGCATGAGGGGGTTGGACTAGGTAGCTGCTGCCTGCTTTGATATACCCAACAGTGACGCTAATAACGATGTGCTGGCTCTCCCAGAAGATTCAGGTGCTCTCCTGTGCACCCATCACACGTCTATGGAAGCACTTACCATACTATTGTAATTATACTGTGAGCCAAGCAAATAAAGAAATCATTATAACACTGTGTTCTACATGCAATGGTAGAAGTATGCAAAAGATTCAGTGGCAGAACAGAAGAAGGGGTGGTTAACTCCATTTGAGGGTATCTAAGAAGGCTTCCTGCACGCAGCATATAGTGTTTTGAAGTTCGAGATGAGTTCATCAGTTGTGAAGGAAAGGGCATTCCCACAGGTAACATTAAGGAATATTTGTAATATAAGAGGAAAGAGCAAGTAAGACAGGTGGATATGCAAAACAAAGGACAGGTAGAATATCAAAAGAAGGGGTATTTAGTAAACTTATACAAACATGTCCTGTCCACAGGAAATAAATGTGGTTAGAAATTTCAATTTAGTTATGTTTAATAAACATTTATTACCTAGCTTCCATATGCCAGAAGATACAGAGAAGAATCAAACATGATCCAGTCTTTACCTTCTAACAGCTTGCAGTCTAGTCAAGGAAAGAGATAAAAAAGATTTAATCAAAATAATAGCATGAATTAAACACAACATCGTACACTTATTATGAAAGAAGAGAACAGAGCATGCTATGGAAGCTTAGATAAGGGCATCAGATTCAGTCCAGAGGGTTCAGAGTAGACTTCCTGAAGGGAATAATACCTGAACTGAACCTCAAAGACAGGAAGGAGTCAGCCTGCTGAAGAAATGTGAGGGAAGCATTTCAAGTAATGGTCAAGATGAGGACTGGTGAGAAAAGAAGCTAGCACTCTTGTAGCAGTCATCACAAGGATAATTACTTGTTCACTATGTGTTTGACAATGGGCTTTTAGATCTTCCCTGCTAGACTGACTGTAAGCCCCCCGAGGCAGGAATTGTGTCTGCCTCTATCTCCAGTGCCCCTTGTATCTCAGTAATCAATAAATGTCTGATGAATGAATGAATATAAGCACATGGGTAAAGGTCACATCATGGGTGAACTTGCATGGCTGGTCAAGGAGCTTATACCTTATTCTCCAGGTGATGAGATATCAGAACAGATGAGTAATCAGGTCAGATTTCTGTTTTGAATGGATTCTGTTTGGATATGGATTTTATGGGGCAGAGTTGGAAGCAGAAAAATAATTTTGGAGAAAGTTGCTCTTTTCATGGTGGGGATAAAGCTCTGCATGGACTGGAGGAGGGTGGTAGAAATACACATTTTAAAGACAAAGCAAGTAGTGACTCAGTGATGTGGGAGGTGAATTAGAGGGGAAACTCATGAATAGCTCCAATGTTTCTGTCTTGAGTGCTTGATAATGCCATCACTCAAGGAGGGAAATTAGTACCGAATAGCAGGTTTAGAACGGGAGAAATGATGAGTTCACAACTAGACAAGATCAGGGTTAGTTTAAGATTCCAAACAGAAATGCCTGAGAGGCAACTGTATATCCAAGATGGGAGGTTTGAGGAGGGGTCTGGAATGAAGAAATAAATTGGAACCATGTATCACTTAGAATGCCTTTCTCAGCGAGTAATAGAAATTTTTGGTTAAAACAGACTTAAAGAATAACTTATTACCTCAAATGATAGGATGCTTAAAGGCAAGGTGGACTCCAAGATTGATGAATTCAATGACTCAGCAATGTCATCAAGAACCTAAGTTCTTTTTAACTCTCCACTCTGCCCTCATAGTTACAGGCTGGCTGCAGCAATTCCAAAAGTTACATCCAGACACCACAAAATCCAGAAGATGGAAAAGGCTATCTTTCCTTGTGTTATTTTTCTCATATATTTAAGGAAATGTAATTTTAACTTTATGGTTTGACATATCAGAAACGTACTAACTGGGAGTTCTGACTTTTAGTTTCAGCCCCTTAGTAGTGAAATCTGACTGGCTGATAAATAAAAATTGAATGCTAATAGACAAATATATTTGCTTGAGCCCATATCCATCAAACCTCTGACTTCCATTTAGTGCCCCATATCATGATGAAAATTAC